AAAAGGGACAGCTATTTTTTTAATCAACCCCATCACCCTCCATCCTGAGTGCTCTGAAATGTCAGAATTCTACAGCTCTCTGAATCATTCTATGTTCATCAAACCTGGAGCTTACAAGACTGTTAGAAGATTGTCCTTTAGAGCTGGGATTTTTTTTTAAATTGAAAATAATTCCAAGTCTCCCCCTCTCTCTTTCTCGGTATAGGATGGCTCAATTAAATTTCATTTTTCTCTTATCCAATTTACATGTGTCTTGTCATTTTTTTCCTTCAGATTTTTCATTCCTCTGCCTTTTGTGTTATGTGCTGGGAGATTTTGTCATCCATTTCTCTTACCCAGTTTAACACATTATTAATTTCTGCCTTTGTGTCTTTAGTTTTCAAAACTTCATAATCTCTGCTTCTGCTTCTTCTCCTCCACCTTCTCCTGCAACCCCCTCTTTTTTGGTTAGTACCTTGCAGTTTTTAATGAGTGCACTATCTGCCATACGTCCTTAATTTTTCAGGTAAATTTCAGATAGGTTTATGAACCCTGCTCTCTCACTTGATTCTGCACTATGACTGACAGCTGTCACTTACAGGTCCTCAACATCCCGTTTGAACACTGTCTCCATTTAATAGTTCCTCATGGTACTGATTCCTTCTGCCTGTAACCAGCATCTTAACATTGCGTCTCTAGCTGCCTGTAATTAGGATGTTTATTCTTCCCCCAATGGCTTTCATTTCTCATGCAATGATAAGACACCCTGGCAAAGGCAGCCTTAAGAAAGAAAGGGTTGATTCAGCTCCCAGGTTCCACAGTACAGTCCATTTTTTGCAGGGAACTCAAACAGCAGGGGCTCCATCATCACTGCAGGGAACTCAAGCAGCAGGGATACCATCATGTCTGCAGGGACATCAAGCAGCAGGGGCTCCATCATCTCTGCAGGGAACTCAAGCAGCAGGGGCTACATCATCACTGCAGGGGACTCAAGCAGCAGGGGCTCCATCATCACTGCAGGGGACTCAAGCAGCAGGGGCTCCATCATCTCTGCAGGGAACTCAAGCAGCAGGGGCTACATCATCTCTGCAGGGAACTCAAACAGCAGGGATACCATCATCATTGCAGGGACATCAAGTAGCAGGGACATCAAGCAGCAGGGGCTCCATGATCTCTGCAGGGAACTCAAGCAGCAGGGGCTACATCATCCCTGCAGGGAACTCAAGCAGCAGGGGCTCCATCATCTCTGCAGGGAACTCAAGCAGCAGGGGCTACATCATCACTGCAGGGGACTCAAGCAGCAGGGGCTCCACCATCTCTGCAGGGAACTCAAACAGCAGGGGCTCCATCATCACTGCAGGGACATCAAGCAGCAGGGGCATCAAGCAGCAGGGACTCCATCATCTCTGCAGGGAACTCAAGCAGCAGGAACTCCACCATTTCTGCAGGGAACTCAAGCAGCAGGGGCTCCATCATCACTGCAGGGAACTCAAACAGCGGGGACTCAATCATCTCTGCAGGGACATCAAGCAGCAGAGACATCAAGCAGCAGGGACTCCATCATCTCTGCAGGGAACTCAAGCAGCAGGGATACCATCATGTCTGCAGGGACATCAAGCAGCAGGGATACCATCATCTCTGCAGGGAACTCAAACAGCGGGGACTCAATCATCTCTGCAGGGATATCAAGCAGCAGGGGCTCCATCATCACTGTAAAGAACTCTAGCAGCAGGGACTTGAAACAACTGGCCACATCCAATCAAGAGCAGAGCTCACTACTCAGCTCACCCTCTCATCCCTCACACAGTCAGCGGGCAAAGGGGATGGCGCCTGCAAGCACCTCTGTGTCAAAAGCTGGCTCCAACCCCAGGCCCTTTGCACTCGCTGGTTTTCCTGGATGCTTTCCGTACTGAAGGAGCGTTGTTTATTTGACTCATTGCCATATCTGCAACAGCTCACATGGGTCTTTCAGTGGCCACTGAGAAACTAAGTGAATACAGTTAGAGGGGGCACTGAGCTCTGCAGCTGACAGCCAGACTAATATGCAGAGCGCATTGCTTCCCCTAGCCCTAGATCTTTCTCCTTTGTGTTTCTTTGGATGACGTCATTGTGGGTGTCCCGCTTATACTCAATGCTGAAATGCTGGGCTCCTTCTCCTAGGTGATTGGTGTGATTTTCTGTATTTACTGGTCTTCCCCTTGAATGGCTGCCCACCGTATACCCTTTCCCCCGTGCCTCTTCTCTTGTTTGGTTTGGGGTGGCAGCTGCTGGAGCATTAATGGTGGCATCAGGGAAAGCTTGCACTAAAGCATATCTGGGGTGGAAACAGGCAGTAATGGAACTCATATCATCACCAGACTTGCCCCTAAATCATAGTTTGAATCCTTTTGTTTTTGTTATTTGCCTTAGAGTTTTTGAGAGGGTCTCATGTACCCTAAACTGGCTTAGAGCTTGCTATGTAGATAAGGGTGGCCTTGAACTCCTGCTCCTCTTGGCTTCACCTTTTGAGAGCTGGGGTTACAGGCATGCACCTCCTCATCTGATTTTTATGCCCTGCTGGGAATTGAACCCAGGACTTGATGCGTGTTAAGCAAGCATCCTACTTGACTGCATTCTATCTCAGGCCTACTTTAATTCTTTGGAGGGTATTTCTCAGGTTGCAGCCTGGAGACGAATGGCCCATCTCTGGTGGATCTGAGGGAAGCCAGTGTCTGGTGCTTTTCCATACCATCCATTGACATCTGCTGGCATTCTCCCTTTACTGAGGCTGAGAGTCCTGCATGAGAGAACCTGCACCATGTATCCTGAGAGGAGCACCTCCTTGCTCACCGGGATCACTATACCCATTCTTCATCCTCCCCGTAGTCAGACTGTAAACCCACAGATGCTGGCTCCCTTCCCGTTCTCAGCAATGGCAGCATCTCCTGACCCAGCTCCCTCATTCCCCTTTGTCACAGGGCTGCCGACGGGCTTCCTGGCAGATGGGAGGTTAAGCTCAGAGGCTCAGAAGTCGGAAGACCCCTCCTTGCATTGCAGATTTTAGCACCCAACTTCCCCAGCGGTCAACAGCTTCACCCACTTGTCCTTACTTCTGCCGGGAGCTTCGTCCCAGTGTTAGGCAGTTTTATGACAATGGACCTCTTGTGGGTGGTTTTAATTCGTGGTGTTGAACACAGAATCTGTCCTTTACTTCGGGGATAGCTTCTGGGCCTTTTTGATCACGTCCTGCTCATGGTTTTATGTTCTCAGGGTCCTAATTCTCTGGGTGTTGCACCTCCTGGGTAGATTAACCACCTCCCTCCCTCATCTCTCCCTTCTCTTTATAATTTCACATCTTCTTTCTGTGCATTTTCTTTAATTTTATCTCTCTGTTCGTTGGCTGAATTTGTTTGGGCTAAGCTAGTTTTTAATTTTCTAGAGCCTCTTTTATTCTCTGGTTCTTGGCACCTCAAGTTTTATGTAAACAATATCCCTGCTCACCTCTTGGCTGTTTTGTTTTCATGTACTCCATTTCCTCTAGAGTTATTTTTTTCCTCTTTGCTCCATGTGTTTTCTTTTGCTCCAGATGGCTTTGTGAATACCTGGGCTCCCGGTTGTGTGCTTATACTCAGGAGTCACGCACGGCCGTTTGTCAATAGTGAAGAATTAAATCATTATAGCAGTTGGGTGTTCCTAGAGGAAACATTCTCTGGGCCCACCTGGCAGGTGTATTTATTACGAGACCTATTCCTACACCAGCTGCCCGGTGCCAGCAGTGAGACAGCATTGTCTATATGTGACCCTAAGCTATGTCCTTACAGTGTGCCATGGTGAGCACGCTCCCCCCACTCTAGCAAGTTCATGTTGAAATGATTGCCATTGGGACAATGTGGGCAGGACCTGGGAGAGACACTTAGGTCCTAAGGATCTGCTGTCACCAATGGGTTGATGTCTTTGTCACAAAAAAATCGATTAGTAATCACGTGGGTTCCTGGTAAGAGGGTGAGTGTGCATTCATTCTGCTTCCCTTCCTCCATGTGATAATAGAGCAAGAAGGCCTTTCCCAGGGGCTGGAACCATGCTGGTGACTTCCCAGGCTCCATAGCCATGAACTAAGTAATTTATTTGTAAATTACCCAACCTCTGGTATTCTGTTACAGCAAAAGAAAATGGACTAAGGTACTATGTCTTACTCTTACACCCTTCGATGTTGACTGACGGACAAAAGAAAATGGACTAAGGTACTATGTCTTACTCTTACACCCTTCGATGTTGACTGATGGACAAGTACTAATACTATTGCTTATTCATCTCGGTGCTCCCCAGAGTCTTAAGAAATGACTTCCCAGGGCTGGAGGGATGGCTCAGCAGTTAAGAGTGCTGACTGCTCTTCCAGAGGTCCTGAGTTCAAATCCCAGTACCCACATTGTGGCTGGCAGAGTCTATGACCATAGTCCCATGGGTTCCAATAACCTCTTCTGGTGTGCTGATGTACATGAAGACAAAACACCCATATACATAAAAGACATAAGTGAGTAAATCTTTTAGAAAAGAAAAAGAAACAGGATGACATGAATGAGTAGATGAGCCTGATCAGTAAACATTTGCTTCGAACACCCCCATCACTTCCAATAGATCCACACCTAACAGTGTCAGCCAGTCAGCTGGCTGGCCTGGACTCTGCCCCATCTCTACAGAAAGGCTGTTGTCATTGATGTATCTTCACTTTAAGACAGGAATAGTAATGACTTCCAGCATGATGAGACCAAACCACTTGGGTCTATTTGCTGTTCTAGAGACGTCCTTATTGAAATGCTACCGGTTGTGTATTAATTAATCATCTTGGCATTTGATAACCTAAAGAGCCACTTTTCTTCTGAGACCTGCAGAGAATGCCACACTCTCCCTTTCCTGCTCCTTCTCTGTTTATCCGCTGTAAATCAGAGTGTGTGGCATTGTCTCCAGTGCCAAGACGATAAAAACTTATTTATTTACTTATTTAATTTGTCAGGGCGCAGACTGATGTCAAACTCAATATGCAGAAGAATAACCTCAGCCATCTGAGCCTGCTGCCTCTACCTCCTAAGTGCTGGGAACACAGGTGTGCATCGTCTGTGGTTTATTACACACTGGGGATTGAACCTGGGGCTTCAAGTGTGATAGGTAAACACTCTACCAACTGACTGCACCCCTAGCCCAATACAAACTTTTCATAGTTCCTTAAGACTTTGGGGCAATAAAAATAGCGAAGCTCTCCCCGTTTAACTATGCATTATTTATTTGCATCATGCAAAGTATGTACCAATGGATTTTAAGAAGTGTTCTCTTCAGAGTCTTACGATTTAGTGGAGGAAAATCACATAAACATAACTAATATCAGTTTGGCAAATTCTGTGTTAGTATTAACACCTCAAAAATAGTACTTAGGGGTGAAGAGTAAGGCAGCGACTGTCGGGAGCCTGTCTGCATGTGCCGGGTCTCTAAGCCGTCCTTGGGCTTGGAGGAGAAATTCCAAATCCGGGAAGTCACCTTGGGCTCTGCTTTATCGTTTGCAGCTCAGATCTGTAAATTAACACATGGAAATCTGAAGTGACAGGCAGGTGTGAACGGGAACTCAGAGAAACAGCTGCTTTCAGGGATAATATTGAAAATACATAAAAGCTGTTAATAAATAAAAAGAAGCCCATATGTGTAGTTTTGAAACCCAAAGCACTTCATTCCTGGCTTCTTCCTACTCCCCAAGTGTAAATAGATTTTTTTTCTCCTAAAATTTAACCAGTTCTGCCCAGATTTCCAGAGATCCTTCCGGAAGCATTACGATGAAGTTTGGTTTAGTGTGAGAGATTATGATGGAATGGTTCCTATCACAACCCTAAGGACGTCTAGAACAGATGGAGCCAGGCTCACAAACACAGGGGCCCTGAGGTGAGGCGTTAGCTTCCGCCCCGAGCAGCTGCAATCAAAGCTAGTGGTCGGCTCTGGGACTCCGGCAGCTGAAGAGACAAGACAGCGCCACACCCCCTCAGTTCCCATCACCACTAAACACAAGCACAGACCCGGGCATGGCTCCTCTGGCAGACATCACTTCTACAGAGGACCCTGTTTGAGCCCGGTGTTTGGCAGACCCCGCAGAGCTCCCAGGAAAGTTCCCCATCAGCACAGAGTCATTCCACAGGGCGGAGGGTGGGCCTGTTTGAGAGCAAGCCTCAGAAGCAGGCACTGTCACGAAAGGAAACAGACAGGCCTTGGCAGTTCTGTCGGGAGCTCAGTGGGCTGAAAGGCGCTAGCTGCTGTGGGCCTTCCCGTGGGAGGGCCAGGGCTACGGGAAGTCACTGGAGACAAAGTACTGACCTGCACGGCGAGCTGGCCGGCCGGGCAGAGGATGACACACAGGGTTGCAATCAAGGAAAGATGACTCAGCTGATACTGGGAGGGTCTGAGAAGAAAGGAAACACTGAGCCATAGAACAAAATGAATTTCCATTACAGAGAATAAAGTGGAACCAGAAAGGCCATATCGTATTCCCCAGGGCTGGCCAGGTTGCCATTTAAAGGCTAGGCTGACCTTCCAGGTTGACCTTTCTTTTAGAACAAAAAGGTACTGAAATGATTCATTAGTCCTAGATCCCAGAGCAGCCGGGCCTTTCATATGGATGGACGGTAGTGGGAATTTGAACTGGAAGGAACTCTCTTGAGAAGGACATTTTCTAGAACATTCCTAGAGGTGTGGTCAGCAAGGGAATGTAAATGTTTATAAATCAGACTCTAAAACATGTAAAGCCACTATACAAATTCTCTAAAGAGTTGGGATTCTTGTGTTAACCCATACACCTGGCCTCCATAGATTCCCCAGCAGACTCTCAATAACTGCTTTTTTGAGACATAATGTCTCATGTAACCTAGGATGACCTAAAACTCACGACACAGCTGAAGATGACCTAGAACTTCTGATCCTCTTGCCCCCAGCTCGCCAGTGCTGGAATCACACTCATGCACCAAAAGGTCTAGTTTATGTGGTGCTGGAGTAGAACCCAGCACTTCATGCATGCTAGGACAACACTTTACCAACAGAGCTACATCCCAGCCTCTGATAATTGCATAAATCTGTGTGCCAGGAACAGTACTAGACCAGAAAAAGGTGGTGGCAAGAACACAGCCATGGTCTGCACGTATTGAAAGGGGGGAATACACCTGGTGATGTCCTATAGCACCTGTGACAATCCAGAACAGACCTGGTGATGTCCTATAGAACCTGTGACGACACAGAACAGACCTGGTGATGTCCTATAGAACCTGTGACGACACAGAACAGACCTGGTGATGTCCTATAGCACCTGTGACAATCCAGAACAGACCTGGTGATGTCCTATAGCACCTGTGACAATCCAGAACAGACCTGGTGATGTCCTATAGAACCTGTGACGACACAGAACAGACCTGGTGATGTCCTATAGAACCTGTGACGACACAGAACAGACCTGGTGATGTCCTATAGAACCTGTGACGACACAGAACAGACCTGGTGATGTCCTATAGAACCTGTGACGACACAGAACAGACCTGGTGATGTCCTATAGCACCTGTGACGACACAGAACAGACCTGGTGATGTCCTATAGCACCTGTGACAACACAGAACAGACCTGGTGATGTCCTATAGCACCTGTGACGACACAGAACAGACCTGGTGATGTCCTATAGCACCTGTGACGACACAGAACAGACCTGGTGATGTCCTATAGAACCTGTGACGACACAGAACAGACCTGGTGATGTCCTATAGCACCTGTGACGACACAGAACAGACCTGGTGATGTCCTATAGCACCTGTGACGACACAGAACAGACCTGGTGATGTCCTATAGCACCTGTGACGACACAGAACAGACCTGGTGATGTCCTATAGCACCTGTGACGACACAGAACAGACCTGGTGATGTCCTATAGCACCTGTGACGACACAGAACAGACCTGGTGATGTCCTATAGCACCTGTGACGACACAGAACAGACCTGGTGATGTCCTATAGCACCTGTGACAATCGAGAACAGACCTGGTGATGTCCTATAGAACCTGTGACGACACAGAACAGACCTGGTGATGTCCTATAGAACCTGTGACGACACAGAACAGACCTGGTGATGTCCTATAGAACCTGTGACGACACAGAACAGACCTGGTGATGTCCTATAGAACCTGTGACGACACAGAACAGACCTGGTGATGTCCTATAGCACCTGTGACGACACAGAACAGACCTGGTGATGTCCTATAGCACCTGTGACGACACAGAACAGACCTGGTGATGTCCTATAGCACCTGTGACGACACAGAACAGACCTGGTGATGTCCTATAGAACCTGTGACGACACAGAACAGACCTGGTGATGTCCTATAGAACCTGTGACGACACAGAACAGACCTGGTGATGTCCTATAGCACCTGTGACGACACAGAACAGACCTGGTGATGTCCTATAGCACCTGTGACGACACAGAACAGACCTGGTGATGTCCTATAGAACCTGTGACGACACAGAACAGACCTGGTGATGTCCTATAGCACCTGTGACGACACAGAACAGACCTGGTGATGTCCTATAGCACCTGTGACGACACAGAACAGACCTGGTGATGTCCTATAGCACCTGTGACGACACAGAACAGACCTGGTGATGTCCTATAGCACCTGTGACGACACAGAACAGACCTGGTGATGTCCTATAGCACCTGTGACGACACAGAACAGACCTGGTGATGTCCTATAGAACTTGTGATGACACAGAACAGACCTGGTGATGTCCTATAGAACCTGTGACGACACAGAACAGACCTGGTGATGTCCTATAGAACTTGTGATGACACAGAACAGACCTGGTGATGTCCTATAGAACTTGTGACGACACAGAACAGACCTGGTGATGTCCTATAGCACCTGTGACGACACAGAACAGACCTGGTGATGTCCTATAGAACTTGTGACGACACAGAACAGACCTGGTGATGTCCTATAGAACTTGTGATGACACAGAACAGACCTGGTGATGTCCTATAGAACCTGTGACGACACAGAACAGACCTGGTGATGTCCTATAGAACCTGTGACGACACAGAACAGACCTGGTGATGTCCTATAGAACTTGTGATGACACAGAACAGACCTGGTGATGTCCTATAGCACCTGTGACGACACAGAACAGACCTGGTGATGTCCTATAGCACCTGTGACGACACAGAACAGACCTGGTGATGTCCTATAGAACCTGTGATGACACAGAACAGACCTGGTGATGTCCTATAGAACCTGTGATGACACAGAACAGACCTGGTGATGTCCTATAGCACCTGTGACGACACAGAACAGACCTGGTGATGTCCTATAGCACCTGTGACGACACAGAACAGACCTGGTGATGTCCTATAGCACCTGTGACGACACAGAACAGACCTGGTGATGTCCTATAGAACCTGTGACGACACAGAACAGACCTGGTGATGTCCTATAGAACCTGTGACGACACAGAACAGACCTGGTGATGTCCTATAGAACCTGTGACGACACAGAACAGACCTGGTGATGTCCTATAGCACCTGTGACGACACAGAACAGACCTGGTGATGTCCTATAGCACCTGTGACGACACAGAACAGACCTGGTGATGTCCTATAGCACCTGTGACGACACAGAACAGACCTGGTGATGTCCTATAGCACCTGTGACGACACAGAACAGACCTGGTGATGTCCTATAGCACCTGTGACGACACAGAACAGACCTGGTGATGTCCTATAGAACCTGTGACGACACAGAACAGACCTGGTGATGTCCTATAGAACCTGTGACGACACAGAACAGACCTGGTGATGTCCTATAGCACCTGTGACGACACAGAACAGACCTGGTGATGTCCTATAGCACCTGTGACGACACAGAACAGACCTGGTGATGTCCTATAGCACCTGTGACGACACAGAACAGACCTGGTGATGTCCTATAGCACCTGTGACGACACAGAACAGACCTGGTGATGTCCTATAGCACCTGTGACGACACAGAACAGACCTGGTGATGTCCTATAGCACCTGTGACGACACAGAACAGACCTGGTGATGTCCTATAGAACCTGTGACGACACAGAACAGACCTGGTGATGTCCTATAGAACCTGTGACGACACAGAACAGACCTGGTGATGTCCTATAGAACCTGTGACAACACAGAACAGACCTGGTGATGTCCTATAGAACCTGTGACGACACAGAACAGACCTGGTGATGTCCTATAGAACTTGTGATGACACAGAACAGACCTGGTGATGTCCTATAGCACCTGTGACGACACAGAACAGACCTGGTGATGTCCTATAGCACCTGTGACAATCCAGAAGGGAAGCAGGCTACAGCAGTGTTTACAACTGAATTTAGATGGTCATAAAAACACAAACGCATCAGTGCAAGGGGGGCCAGGGAGAGCGAAGTTCTTAAGAACAAAATCTGGGAGCTGGAAAGGTGGTGAAACGCTTGCCACGGCGTGAGGACTGGGCTTCAAGCCCTAGAACCTAGGGCAACGCCAGCTATGGTGGCGGTAGGGCAGGGATGTGGGCTGGGGAGGCAGAGCCGAGAGGCCTGGCGCTCATCAGCCAGCTCAGCTAGCCTTCCGAAGTGATGTGCTCCCCGTTCAGAGACAGGCCCTGCCTAGAAATAAGGTGCGGAGCGATAAAGAAGACATTCGATGTTGCCCTCTGACCTCCACGTGCACGCAACACCTTTCCACTGACAAAATCTACTCATGTATGGCTTAAAGAAACACAGTCACTAGTGAAAATTTTACAGAAACTAGAAGAGGATTAAGGGGAAAATCAAGAAAGGGAAGGAGAGAAAAAGAAAAAACCCCACAGGAGTAGTATCTGATAGCCCTACAAAATGTCACGAGGTCCCACACTATAACACTGCGATTCTCCTTGATCTGTCATCAAAGCCGAGGAGTACTTTGCACACAGGAAACTCGGGTACTCAATTATCCAATGGGAAAATGCACAATTTTCCTACTAATGGAAGGAAAGATAAATTGAACCATTTTCTCGGGGCCATCACTCACGGTTGCAGCTAAAGAAAAGAAATTAAAGTGGTGAGGCCCGGAGCCAGCAATCAGCAGAGATGTGTAGTCCTGTTCCCAGGGCAACAGGAGCACGCTTAGCTTTCTGGAGACAATAAGGAAACACGGCCACGGCAGCCGTGAAACGACTCACTCCATCCTTTGTTCTGGCAACTGGATCTGAAGGACATGGACCTTTAGGGAAAACAGAAGGATTCTTGATAGTAACGCTCATGTCGGCACTCTGCAGTTTCCTAAGTGAGAGAAGTCAGTAGAAAACCATGGGTACAATTTCTACTTTAGTTTTACGTTATTAATTTTGTCTTAGTGTGCGCATACACGGAAGTGCATGGTGGAGGTCAGAAGACAGCTTTCGAGAGTCAGTTGCACGCGGGTGGGCTCTGGGGTCCAGACTTGGGTCCTCAGGCTTGGTGGTTGGCACTTTACTCTGAGCTGTCTTGCAGAGTCCCTGTCCTCATTTATTAATCTTTAACTAGAGAAGCGTCACTAAGTTGGCAGTGTCACAGGGTGAGTTACACATCCCTTGCACGTGGGACTGATGACATAACCGCGTGTGATGGGGACTCCACCACAAATAGTCAGATTTCTGCACCTGTGACCAGAATTAACCCCACACAATTAAAAACAAAATAGGGGCTGGGCAAGTATGAAGTCCTGAATTTGCATCCCCAACACCCACACAAAAAGCTGGGTGTGACAATGCTTAGTTGTCATTTCAGTACAAGTGAGGCAGAGAGAGGACACCCTGGGGCTCATGACCCAGCCAGCCCAGCCAATCAAAGAGCACCAGTCCAGCCAATCAGTGAGCTCTAAGCTCATGCCCCTTCTTACAAAAAATAAGGTAAAGAGGCATTGGGAATACACTAGTGGTGGACCCCTGCACATTTGCACACGTGTGTATGTATACACATACACACATAGGCATATAGGAAAAATATAATAAGTAGCTGTTGTCAGTCACTGGACCCCAGGGTCCATTGGATCCCTGAGGAAAGGAAGCAAAGGTGTTGGGGTCCCATATGGGTGAGACTTCTTTTCTCATACATAGAATCACATGTAACCCAGGCTGGCCTTGAACTCACTGACTCCGTAGCTGAGGGTGACTTGGTCTCTGACCTCCTGTTTCTACCCCCTGAGTGCTGGGATTACTGGTGTGCGCCGCTATGCCTGCTTTATGAGGTGCTGGGGATGGGACCTGAGACTTGATGTTAGGCGAGCGCTCAACAGACTCAGCTTCATCCCCAGCTGCCTGTGAAGACTTTCTGTCTGGAGGGGTTAACACCCGGCCTGTGACCACACAGGAGGGAAGGCCTGCAGTCCTGTGAATTAAGGATTGGTTCTTAATTCTGAAAGGCCAAGTAGGCTAGAGTTAGGTGTGGTTCTGGTAGAGAGCGGCCCAGAAGAATGAGCTTCAGGAATTTGGAGAGCCGGCTTGGAGCCTTTGACTGGAGACCACACGTGTGTGTAGGGTAAAATCCCCAAGTCCAGATAAGTGCATTTAAGAGCTGGGCTCTTCTAGGTCCCAGCACCTCCCAGTAGCATCATGGGCTGGGAACTACACCTTTGACACAAGGGCTTCTGGGGGGTTATTTACCCAAACTGTGGCAGGACACAACCCCAACCAAAGCAGAGACTGATAATTAAATTTCACTCAAACAAAAGATGTTTGCTTTCCTTTGTTGTAATAAACACACGACCTGATGCAATGAGGGAGAGGAGAGGGCTTATTTGACCTATAGGCTTGAGCCCCTCCTCACGAGAGGTCAGGGCAGGAACGGAAGCAGAGACAAGAGAAACCTTGCTTACTGGCTTGCTTCCTCTCTTACGAAGCCCAGGCCCATTTCCTAGGGATTGGCACTGCCCATGGTGAGCTGTACCCCCTGGTATCAGTTACCAATTAAGAAAATGCCTGGCAGACAGGGCCACAGACCAATCTGATCAGGACAGTTCTTCAGCTGAGGTTCTCTTTTCCCAAATAGCTAGGTTTGTGTCAAACTGACAGCTACACATTGAGTTCAAGGCTAGTTTGGGTTACACAGCCAGGTTTTGACCTGCGCCAGAGCAGAACCCACATAGTCAAACCAATGAACCACAGCAACAGAAAGACAAGCCATTAAACATGGAAATGGGCAAAGACTTTGAATAGATAATTCCTTGAAGAAGATATAGAACCAGATTGTCCAAAGGTGTAATTTAGATACATACATTGAGACTCAGAAATGAATCACAAAGTGACTTTGAGTTCAATATTCACCAGAATACTTTTAAATAGATTTTAAAAGACGTTTTTAGGAAGCTTAAGTTGATTTGGGTAGATGGTGGATAATGATGACTTTGGTGACACGATCCTGGATTTCCAATTCCTCCTGGCAATAAGAGAGGACAGACACTGCCTCCTGTTTGCATTGCGTCTAAGTGGAAGATGCTGGTCCCTCTCTGCTGGTGCTTTGGGGCTGGCTGTGTTTCACTGAGCAGAGGAAGGCCTCTTGGTCCTGGCTGGTGCAGAGATGGAAACTGGGCTGTACTCTAACGTGTCCTCAGCATCGGGCTCTCCGGGCACTCCTCACTCAGACCCTTCCATTCCTTGACCTTATCGTTGGTGTCTCCTGCGCCTGGTCACTGGGCAGAAGTTGGTTCCAGCAAGGGACTTTCAGCTTCGGACCAGACATCTGTGAGCCCCGTGCAGGGTTGACCTTGTGGTACACATCCTCCTCAGGGCAGTGATAGGTTCTCTGCCCCTCACCCGTGTGCTTTGGGCCGAAATCTTCCTCATCGCTGGCGAAAGGAGGCCTGCATTCTTCACAGGGCTGTGTCCTGCTCCACAAGCCTCTTGGGACTCCTGCGGTGAGGACAGATGAAGAAACGGGCCATGGCCTGGCCTTTCTGGGTCTCAGTTTCTCCATCTATAAAACCAAGGTGGCGCAACTTCCCAGCCTGACTCTGAAACCCTTGGCACAGATGTGTGTTAGAGTGAAGACACTTGCAAACACATGTAAATTACATGTCCATCCACCTCCTCCCTGCTTCCCAGCAGAGAGCGCGGGTGCTCTCCCCTGGTAAAACGTGAATATTTCGGCAGGAAATGCTCAGACTTTCACAGTAAGTGGGACAAGTACAGACTATAATTAGCCTGTGTTAGTTAAGGTCAGGGTTTGCTGCGAAGCGAGCTTACTTCAAGCTTGTCTTTTAAAAAAATCTTTTAAGGATTTTTTTCTTAATGTTCAAGGGTTTTATGAATTTTAAAACGGCAGATGAGGAGTGTGCAGCTATTCTGTTAGGAGCGTGGCTGAAGTCACGGGTGCTGTGCAATTTGTACCAATGCACTCTCTAGGTAGTCCCGCGTTTGGGGCCTATAGCTTGGCAAGCAGAATACAGAAAGGGGGTCCTGCTTTTCAGGGTAAAGGTCAAGCCTCCCCTGAGCTAGGCCTTGTGTAGTGCACAATCTGTCCACCCAGATTCTCTGCTCCCTGTTCTGTGTCCCTCCAGGCTTCTGGGACAATAGACAATGGCATAAGGTGCCCTCCCTCAGAGCTACAGCTTTGCCTCTGACCCATGCTCCCAACCAGCAAATACGGGTCCACCCAGGAGCCACCCCATGGAGCTTCCTTGAACATAGCAGGATGGGCGGAGCTTCCTAGAACACAGCAGGATGGGCGGTGTCAGAAACAGTGAACGGTAGTGAATGGCGTCCTTGGCCCACAGACCACACTTTGAGTTGTGAGGTTTGAGAACCTCTCCTTCATGTCCCCGAATGCCTGTCTTCTGGCTTTAGGTCCCGTAGTCTTCCCTTGCCAGCTTAGACAGCTACTGTCTTCCCTGCACCGCCTGTCCCCACGCCCACCCCCAGTTCCCGAGAGCCACGGGTTCCGTCTCCCGTGTTCTGAGTTTTGTATGAACTCGGGGTTCCCAGTCTGGGTGCTCCCGAACCGAGAGCCAGGCAGTTCTTTGCTGTGGGGATTGTTCTGCAGAGTTCTCACACCCCATGTGGTTGGGACCATCCCTCACCTGCCCTCCACCCTGTGGGTCACGCTTTCCCAGGCAGCATTTGCTGTTTTGTTCTTCTGTGTAAATCAGCTGTCCTTTAACACAGGCCCACACGGGCCAGGACTGCAATGAATGCAGCCTCATGCAGAATTAGAAACTTACCTAAAATGGGACTAGCTTTTATGCGTACGCTGCATGCATGCGCTGCGTGTGTGTGTGTGTGTGTGTGTGTGTGTGTGTGTTTAAAACCTGTTTGTGTGGCTCACTGACTTTGTAGATGAGAACAT